TTACTTACTTCTACCTATTTCTATATGTAATTATTAGCTTACATGATTATGGCCGTGACAACTTAGAAGTATCTTGGAACTTAGAAGTATCTTAGAACTTAGAAGAAGGATTCTTGATAATGTAAATAAGAGAATCAAAAGACATACTTGATTGGATTTATTTCACAAAGGTTGAATGAATGGTCAACATTGATTTTATTATTCAAAGATGAAAATTTTTTAGTTTTAAGAGAATCATTCTTTATTGATCAAAAGATACATCTCCTTCTTTTGGTGTAAAATAAGAATGTCTAGAAAGGGCGTCTAACAAACCTTGTTGTCTTTTGAGTCGATATGTAATCTTAAAATCAAATCTTAATAAAAACATGCTCCAACGAGCTTAGCGACGATTCAAAATATGTCTTAATATGAAATACTCAAGATTCTTTTGGTTTGTATATACGATGACTGGATTGAAAGTGCTTTCTAGATAATGATGCCATTCTTGAAATGAATCCACGATTGTAAGAAGCTCTTTGTCATGGATTTTATAATTAATCTTGATTATTGAAAATTTTCTAAAATGAAAAGCTACCAAGTGAAGTTTATCATCTGTTCTCATTTGTGATAATACGACACTCAAAGCAAAGTCTAATGCATTTGTTTCCATAAAAAATGTCTTAGAAAAGTTGATGTGATACAAGATTGTTGCACAAATAAAGGCTGACTCCAAAGCTTCAAAAGATGCTTCAACTTTACTACTACAACCAAGTTTGTCTTTGCAAGTTTAATGTGTAAATAGAGTTGAAACTCGAGAAAAGTCTTTGATGAAGATCCGATAATAGTTAGTAAAGTCTAAAATGTATTGGACATTTCTTATCGTTTTTGAAATCTTCCAATCCATAATAGTTTGAACTTTTTTAGGATCCATCACAAGTCCATCATTTGAAATGATATATCCTAAAAAGTCGACTTGAGTAGTATAGAATATACACTTTTCTATCTTGGCATAGAGTCTCACATCTCTTAATTTTTATAACACATGACAAACATGAAGTTTATGTTCATCTACATTTTTAGAATAGATCAAGATGTTGTCTAGATAATAAACAAAAAAATTATCCAAAAACTCTCAAAAAATATCATTTATTAGATTTTGAAAAGCTGCTAGTGTATTTATAAGTATAAAAGGTATGACATTGTATTCAAAATGTCTTTACCTACTTTGAAATGTAGTCTTCCATTCATCTCCTTCTATAATATATATTAGATTGTATGCTCTCCATAGATCTATTTTTGTGTAGATCTTAGCTTGATTCAGTTCATTGAAAAGTCTGAATATCAAAGGTAGAGAGTATTCTTGATAGTGATCTTATTAAGTCCTCGATAATAAGGACACATTCGTATTGATCCATCATTCTTCTTTACAAATAAGATTGAAACTCATATTAGCAATTTGAAATAGCATATAAAATTCTTGGCCATATTCTCTTCAATATATTCCTTGAATTCAACTAATTCATTTTATGATAAATTATAGATTGGTCCAAATGGTAGTTGTGTTCCTTCTTGAAGGTTAATTGAGCAGTCATAGGAATAATATTCTAGAAGAGTACTTGCATTCATCTTCTCAAAGACATCTTGAAACTCTTGATATTGGCTTAAAATGCTACTTCAAGTCTTTGCATCATTAGAAATAAGTGTGGCATAAATGATACAAGGTGATCCTTTTTTTGTAGCATGCAAGAAAGCTCTCACACCTATAAACACAAGTTTTATTGTGCTAGCCTTATGACTTTCTATTTGATTAATTTTATTCTAAATTATACTTCTAGAAAAGTCAAGAGTACGAGAAATCCAATCTATGCAAGGATTATACTTTTTTAACCATAATAAAACTAAAATAACTAGATTAAAGGGAGATCTAATTATATTAAAGATTGTGCAACTACTATGACCATTTATTGCTACATCTATAGGAAGTATTTCATGAGTAACATCTCTAGAAGATGATGGATGTCCATCTATGACTTCTACATGAACAGATTTGATTTTTTATACTAATGGTATTTTATGACTTTCAACAAATTTTACATCTAAGAAACAAGTTGAGGCTTTTGAAATTATCAAGGTGGAGGATTTATAATTATTAGGTCCTAAATGTACATCTATTATAAAAAGAGGTGAGGGTTCTGAAAAGAGAATAGGACCTTTATTAAAAATTGTACAAGATTCCAGTGACACGGTGTCGTATTAAATGAAGTCTTGCTTGAGAATGCACTGGGCACCTGGCTGTAGAAGATAAAAGAAAATTGCAACAAAAGGTCGAATTAGTTGATGATCTCAAAATTCCACTCGGATGTCGACTGACCTCTCCTTCTCCAATCTAATGTCAAACTTTTAGCATTGCTATCTCATTTTTCTATCATTTGATTGCTTCCAAATTTTACTTGCATATAGGAAATCAAGTCTTCTATTGATAAAACTAAAAATCTCCCCGATACAACTAGCAGATTACTAGATATCTAAGTAAATCTTACTGGTCCTCAAAATCCTAAATACTGAGACCTTAGCTCACAAAACCTTTGTATGTATCGATCTAGCCATTCAATTGCCCTCATACCTCTTGTACACATTTACAACAAGCATACCAATAAGTCTCTAAATTGTTATCCATAAAAATGCTATAAAAATCACAAAATCCAAAAATTTGTAAATAAGTTTTATTTCTCAAAGATCTAAAATCACAAAGAACATCACTCGCTTTGAAAATCCCTCAAAATCCAATACTAATCCCAAATGACACAAAATCACCTTTCCAAAAATCCCTCCACAAGTCTACCATCCCTCCTTCATTCGGCTCTCCGATCTCCCCCCCCAAATCCCTCTACCCGTCTGTCTCCTATTCTTTCACCTTGGTCTTCCCGAATTGGTCTAGCCAATGGAGCTTTTTCTCCCATGCGGTCCAATATCCTCCTGCCTTGGACTTCTCGAATTGATCCAGTTGACAGAACAGCTTACAATGGAGCCGAAGCCTCCACATTGGAACTTCATTGGGTTGCCAATCGAATCAAGTTTCATACTGGATAAGAGATCGTAATAGGACCTGGATTAGACGTCTGGACAATTGGGTCAGATTGGTCCTTCATATCAAGCTCACTTAACATTGAATTAGTCCTTTTTCCTTCTGCAGACTCTTGTTATTGGAATTAAACGAAGCATTTCATTACTAGTAAATATGTCCCGACTGACTGCGATGGGGTGACAGTAACTGGCCCTTGAATATTGGTACTGGAATTGGCTGCTACTACTAACATTCAAGCTGACTAAATATTAATAAAAATCTTCTTCCTTTGTATTTTCACTATACAGTCGTATTACAAAACGACGTCCACTCCCCCTTGAACCTCTGTATCCTTTAGTATGCACCAATTAACCTAGTTGTTGTTCGACTCATAATATGTTCTCTAAGTCTTTGTCCAATCCATCTTTATCATCTTTACTATCCAGATCAATTTCATCTCCTCCCTGAAAAACATCTATCTCTTCACTATGGTCTTTTATATTTATTTTTGAGTATCTTTGTTTAAATATTTTTACTCCCTTCCCTGCAATTGGTATTTTTAACTTCATTCCATCTAACTCCCGCAATGAGTAAGTTGCATTATTATCAACAGCTATTACCACATACGGTCCAAACCATCGCTTAGAAAACTTTCTTAAAGTATTGTGTTGATTGCCCAAGCTACTATCATAGAACAAAATCCAATCACCTTCTTCAATTAACTTATTAGACTATAACATTTAAGAAATTATGAAAATTATATACTTGACTTGTTGTGTTTGATTGGATTAATTGTGATTATTATATCATTTTTTATTTTTATTTTTATTATTTTTTTTATATTTATGGTTTAAGTGCCCACATTGGTTAATATTGGATTTTAATCTAAATTACAATTGAATCAAATTGAACTTAAATGTGAAGGGGAAAAAACCACTCACAATCTCATAAGTGCCCAACAAATTTGGTATGATATTGTCTATGTTTTTGAAATTGTCACTTCTTAGTAACAAGTTATCTACATACATAAAGTAGAAGAATAATATATTTTACATATTCAATACAGTAATACAAATTACGAACTTTATTACTCCTTAGAAACTGTCTCTCCTGTAGAAAAGCGTCAATGTTGGAAAACCACACACCAAGGGCTTAATTCAATCCTTATACCACACGATTGAGTTGGCACACTTTGCTTGCTGTTTTGTACATTGCCCATCAGTTGTGCACCTCCTTGTGTACTTCCATTCCTCGGTCCAATTAAAAATGCAGTGTTGACTACCTCAATTCATTCTTGATAGATGATAAAGAATGCTACTCCTGCGGAGGCGGTTCGAAACGATGCTCATGCAGTCTGAAACAACGAGGCCATCCAGTGGTCCAAGATCGAACTGTGCGCAATCGTGCAGGTTGGTTCCAAGTTCAGCTGACGACGAAGAGAAATCGGCACCGTGAGCCCAATGGTTTCTCGTTGAAACACCATGGCAGCTTTCCCATTTGGGCCGCCAGCAGAGGCAGTGAGCAAGCATACCGACGAATGTTGGATCTGAGGATGACAACACGTTGCGGCATGGACCCTTCTGACTTCGAGCTTCGCCGAACACGGCCCTCCCCGTCTTCCGCGAAGGAGGACCAAGCCCCTTGCCCGGACTCCAGCGGCTTCAATCCATTTAGCCTTTGCTGCTTGCTGTCAAAGGCGTATGAGTGCGGCGACCGCACTCGAACGCTGTTGCCTGCAACACTTCCTCACGGACCCGTGGGTCCAGCCGGAGGGGTTTACCGAGTCCTTGATATTCATGCGCTACAGTGCCAAAGTTCCGACCTTACCGCGTGCGTTGAAAATGGCATGACCATGCCGTCACCAGGTTCGAGGACGACGCACGCGCAACAAAGTCTCCCATGTCCACGTCCGGTACGATGGCCCTGCTCCTATAAATACAAGAGCCCTCCTCCGTCTTCCACAACCTCCAGCTCCCAAGTCACTTCATCGGCAAGTACACGCATCAGGAACCAGGAGAGCAGTGCAGTATTTCGGACACTTCGGACTCATCGGGGATCGCAGGATTTCTAGATCGAATTTCGGAGGCCAGGATTCTTGTGGAGGTGTGCCGCTCAAGGAGATCGGAGCGTGCAGCGAGGACGTGAAAACCGTCGCCGATCACACGAGTCCACAGGGGTGTGAGTCCAGCAGTGGTCGTGAAACCGTAGACCCTCCTCCAAAATGACCAAGCAATTCCAGCACCTGGTAGCGGCGTTGGCGGCAGTGGTGGTGCTTTGTGCGGTCATGGGCGCGCAAGTGGACGCTCAAAGCATTCCTGCGCCGGCTCCCTACATGCGAGGCTACGCCCCATCTCAAGCTCCCGCTGCGGTGTACGATGGCGTTCCCGAGTACGCTCCAAGCTTGGCACCCAGCAACGCCCCCGCGTCCGCTCCAGAGGGGTCGCCCATGTCTGCTCCGGTGGTGGCTTCTCCGGCGTACGGTCCCAGCTCTGGCTCCCCATTCCAATCCCCAGCTGATGCACCGGGACCCATGTCGGGAGAAGGTTTCTGAGCTCAGTCATGTGGATCTTCTGGCTGAGCGCGTGAAACATTTTTTGTAGCGACACATTGTTTGGAACACTCGCAGATTCATGAGCAGTTCCAGTAGTGGTAGGTGTAGATGTAGATGAAGTGAAGCATTGGTTGTGGGTTGCCACGTCGAAGTAAAGCATCGATTGGCTCCACAGCGGAGCATGTACATTGTCGTTCATTGGGAAGAAGATTGAATCAACATCCGAGATGAGTTCTCTTTGCATGGACCAACTGTGGTGGTTGTGGAAAGGCAGCATCCTGGCACCATCCTCTCCAACATCTGTGCCAAGCTTCAGTATGGGATTCATATTCTGATAGAGGCAGAAGAAGTCGGGCAATGGATGTTGGGTTGCCGGTCTTGGTGGCACTGCCAGGATTGTAACCTCCACTCTGAATATGTGGTACGCGGCGTGATGGTTGTGCAGAAGTTGAATTGTGTTGTAATCAGATTCTGTGATTATTGGGTGATTTGTACATGTTTACACGTGTTGAGTAAGTTTAATTGGATTCGATCAGTCTGGACGGTTGGAGAGTATAATTTGAGTCTTGGGTTTTAGCATGGGTTGGCAACTTATTTGAGGAAGGGTGGTATCGGAATTGTTGGGAGTGTGTTGCTTCACAGTTTGTTCAAATGAGCTCTTTGCTTTTAATTCAATGAAATCAACACTTTGTTTGTTGTGGCGCTTCACGGTGGGTATTTGAGATTATTGTTTATGATTTCTTCAGATTAATGAATCATGATATGAATCAGTCGCGAGAGTCTCTGCGTACTGGCATTTGTATTTCTTTTTCTGTTTGGAGATGGTACTTGGAATGTGTTTCTGCAATAGGAGTCTTTATGAAGCTGAATGTCAAACTGTCGCTCTGAATCGGCAGCGTTAGAAATTTAACTAGATTGTATTGATTGTAGGTTGCTTCCGTCGGATGTGTTTCAATGTTGCGTTGCAGTTTTCTATTGTGAAGTTGTATTGTTTCATGAAGTCTGTACTTTGATGCTTTTTAGTTTGATTTGAGTGTTACAATGCATGAAAGTTTTCATTTAGCTATGATAGAATCATGGGGATTATAACATTGCAATGTTTAAAGTGTACTAGTGCAATAAAAAGTAAAAAGATGTAAATATATAAAACCATATGTTTGATGATATTTGGCCAATAAAAAGTGCAAAGATATATATTTATATATATCGCTTATATTAAGATCGCTCCAGGATACAAGTGCAAGGAGTCAAGTGGTGGCTCTCCTTCACCGCATGCTCCCCGCTTTGTTTTCATCAAAAAAACTTCACATTATCTGGAGAAAACAGGTCCTTAATAGAACTAATAACTTGCTGTTTCGGGATGTTAATGTATTGTGTCGATAAGTTTTGTATGCCGCCTCCTAGACTCAGATCATTCTTCTGCATTCTTATAATTTTCTTCTTCTCGAGTGAATGGGAGAGCAGGTGGTAGTTGCTACACGTTGCAGGTGAGTAGAGAGTTGTTGCATTCGGCTGGTATCGAGGTGTTGCGTTCGACGGTATCGAGCTACTGCGTTCGGCTGGCTGGTTAGCTGGACGTTGTTGTGTGTGATCATGTGGCAAAGCACTGAGGCAAACTGAATGAATTTTACGAACTAGTGAATTTTATTGCCTAAATTTGATCCTGAATGCTGGTGCCGTTGGGAGTGGGTGCAGAATGCTGGTGCCGCTAGGAGTGGATGCAGAATGTTGGTGCTGCTGGGAGTGGGTGCAGCTCTAGCTCTTGCCCCGTTGTTGGAAGCTAATCCAGTGCACACCTCAGGAGGTAAGCTGCCATAGGCAGTAGCCACAGCCGAGGAGGTAAAACACAAGTCATGCAGCTCCAGCTCTTGCCACAATGTACAGTGCACATCTCACCTGTAGGTAGAAGCCACACCTGGATAAAACACAATTACACCTAAAGAGGTAAAATTTCAATTCGAGCAAGTTTCTAAGTTTTTATTTTTAGTTTATATTTTAAGTTTTTTTATTTCTAATTTTGTTTGTACCTTCCATTGTAGGTTTTGTCACATGATGAGAAGAGGCCATTGTATATGAGCAATATTAAGTTTTGGGCCATTGCTCCAGAGCAAGCAAATAAATTCATTTGTAATATTTTTATGACAATCAAAGTTAACTTCATGAAGTACGAAAAAAATATGAAATTTTTTATATTCAACTTCATATAAAATAATGATATATAATGATGTATTCATTTGTTAATTTTGATTCATTTTGGTTTGTGATGATGCCCATTTGGAAATTGTTTAATCCAAGAATGCCATGTGGGTCGTTTGGAAGCATCAATATTTATGTAACTTTGATATGCAACTTTATACTTGAATTCATTTTATTACGACAAAAACTCATTCCAAAGACTTTATTATGATTGACGTAGAGTTTCATTTTTGGGCCATCTTGATCTAGAGCAATCAAATGAATTCATTTGTAAGATTTTATGACAATCAAAGTTCACTTACTTTAGCCATATCAAATTTATCTTTAATTCACTCTAAAATTATACTTTGTAAATGACAAGCTACTGATAATAGAAAGGTTAATTAAATTGCAAAGCCAATTGGGAGGAAAATTTGAGTAATTATTATTTTTTAATTCTTTGGAGTGTACTCATGAAGACTAAAAAGTGTGAATGACAACTTTTTGCAAGCCTTCAGTAAAGGAACCATAAATAGAAGAATTTTGTACTTTTTTAATTCTACACTGTACACATTTCATATCCTTTGGCTATCATCTTTTTTCTTCTATAAAAAAAGCTAAGATATTATTTTTAAATATGGCTTTATATAGTTATTTTAATAGTTTTTAACTTTATAGTTATATTTATAGTTTTTATTTATAGTTACATTTATTATATTACATTTCATATTATATCTTCATTATAAATACGAGTTCTTGAGCAACAAAGTTTTATTGGAATTTTACAAGTATTGTTAACGACAACAAGAATTATTGTTCAAAAATTAAATTATAAGAATTTTATTTCTTCTTCTTATATGGGCTTTTTATATTCAACTTCATATGTAAATATATATAAATATATATATATATATGTATATAAATATTTTAATAAATATAAAGATACAATTTTATAGATGTACAATTTGATAGAGGTACAATTTAGATGATTCTAAGCTTATTCCAATTTTCTATTGAAACCCATGCCATTGTGAATGGTCCAGCTTTAACAATGAATCAAAGAGCAATTGCTCAACAATAGCATAGAGAACATGAGAGAGCACAAAGAGAATCTAAAATAGTTACAAGTGTTCAAGCCATCCATGCCATTATGAACAGTCCAACTTTAACAATAAATCAAAGAACAATTATTTAATGATAGCATAGAGAATGTGAGAGAACACAAAGAGAAACTGAAAATGTTATAAATACTAAAGCTATACATAATCTAAGGAGGATGAATGTTTTGTGTCCTCATTGTAATGCATTGCATTGGTTTAATAAACATTTAGCTCAATCGCCTAGGGAGTTGCCATTATTTGGATAATATTGTTGTCAAGGAAAAGTTTCTCTACCATATCTACCTTCTCCGCCTTTACTTTTGAGACGCTTATTTGAAAACCAAGATGCAAGAGTAAGGGAGTTCCAAGAAAATATCCGTTGGTACAATGCTGCACATGCATTTACATCCTTAGGTACAAATATTGATCGATTTGTGCTTCAAAGAAATGCTCCATACATTTTTAGAATAAATGGGAGTTGCACCATTTAGCAAGAGCATTGTTACCAGAAGAAGGTAGTAATCCAACTCATGCATAGCTCTATATCCACGATGCATCATTTACACAAGATAGAAAAATGGGATGTAATCATGGTTTATTGACTCAAACTATGTGGGAAATTGGAGAAGTTTTGAGGGAAAATAATCCGTTTATTGGATTATATAGAGAAGCACATGAAATACTATCTCAGGTATGGAATGAAGGAGTAGTAGAAGTAGATCTTGCTATTTTTTTATATTTTATGAATAAGAGCAATAGACGCCAATATAATCTTCCCACCACTTTTGAAGAAATTTCTCTTATATTAATTAGAGATGGATCAAAGCATAATGCACTTTGTAATATTATTATTTGCCTATGTAGTAATGGGTTGTTAGAAAAGATTCATGAGGCTCATCCAACTTATTTTCTCCTTTATTATATTCTATTTTTTTTGTATAGAATCCTTAGATGGTATCTAGACTTAAGGACACAAAATGTAGTGATGGATATTGTGTCAAGGACGAGAATTTGATGAAAAAATAATTCAGACAAGTGAAGCTTCACTCAAAGAAAGGTAACAAAATATAAATAAACAAGTATGTATATTGAAAGAGAAACTGGAATGACTATTGCCAAAAGACAACAAAACTAGAGACCCTTGAAACTAGACTGGAAGCAAGAAAGGAGTTGATAAGAGTGAAGAAGGCTTCACTCTTGTCTCTATATATACTATTCAACTAGGGACTACGTGGCGACGTTCTATAAGACCTCCAATATGTGTTGACTTTGTAGGACACATGCCTTGACTTACAAGGTAAGTTTTTCTACGTGTGGGCCACATAGTTAGCTTGATCTTCAAGCTAACAACATGTGTGGCATATGGCCAACTTTTTGACCACGATTCTAATCCAAAAATTCAATTAAAGATACCTACGAAGTCAAAGCAGCATCTATGAAGCTTCTAAGAAGCTTCTATATTAAATACTATAGAATTAACTTACTTTTATCTATTTTGACTTACTTCCACCTATTTGTATATGTAATTACTAGCTTATATAAGTATGTCCGTGACATTACCCCCCCTTCTAGGAACGAGTTCCACGAAGAGCAGTCATCATATGTTGAGGAAATCTATGATGCAACGAATTGTATTTGCCACATACTCTGATCTTTGTTCTCTTCAAAGATGATTGATAGGGCCTCTCAATCATTGATAGTGTCCCATACTAAGGCGGGAAGATCACCCAGTTATTTGATCATTGTTGAGGCCTTCATAACTTCTTTCAAATAGAACATTTGGAACACCATCAGGAGTTGTTCCTACCTCTAGCACAATCACCAAACATCGGGAGTCCCTTCCCAAATCGTGATACCAAACGCGTAGTATCTTGCCATCTATTCGAGGAAGAACATGTCGTTCTAGAAGATCTTCATCTCGATTGCGTCGTCTTAAAGGTTGTGACAATCGTAATGTCTTATCCGACA